AAGGCTGTCCACAAAATGCTGTTTCAATGCTTATGCTCTCAAGCCCCATGAAGACAATGGTATCCAACTGCTCACAAACTGGGTGAAATAAGGCGCGTTACTCCGGCCGTCGCTCAGAAACTCCCTCGCTTCCTGATCAGCCACAATCCTCTTCCCTTCCTGCCGGAAACATTTCCCTCTGCTTTGCCCTTGAGCCAAAGAAAAACCCTCCCTGGGCTGCTCAGTCCCATGGCCAAGATGGAGCCCAAGTGCCAGGAGAAGAGCAAAGGCAGCATGAGAAAGCACCAGTTGGATGAGCTGCTCTGAGGAAATAAGGGGCAGTGAGCAAAGCCCAGCTTTCCTGCAGCACTCAAATCCCAGCACAAAGGGGCAACACTGTGGTACTGGGAAGATCATGGGACCCTCCAGTACCTGTCAGCCGAGGGACAATCCAGGTGTTCTGCTGCAGAGCCAACAACCACGTCGAAGCCCCTCCTCAGGTGCCAAGCCACGACCACTCCCTCCCGTTAGGTACGGCAAGAGAACTTTACACCAACCAGAAACAAAAGGTAATTACGACTGAAGCCACTCCAGCTCCACCTAAACACAAAGAATTCGTATAAAAGTAAGGTGGGGATGGGGAGAAAATTGAGGAAGACTCCTCCGAACCTGCTGGGATCAGCTGAGATGCTGAACTTGCCTTCCCACCCAGGGACACCTGTGGGGTGAGAAATACACTCTGGGCAGGTTCAACGCTGCTTTAAGGAGCAGAGCTTTGGTCGGGCTCCCCCCAGAGTCTATTGGCAGATTGCTTCGTGTTCCACCTTGGCCTTGCTTCCCAGAGCCGGACATTGCTTTCAAACACAGTTTTGCAGCCAGACGCTGCCGCCAACGCCCACGAACCTTATTAACCTGTCCCAGCCGGTGCTAATAAAGAGTGTGATTCCAGGAACTGGGAGAGGAGTCCTTTCAGGCGCCAGCAGCAGGTACCACCTTGGCAGGGCCAGGGCCGGCTGAGGGCAGTGCTTTAACTCCCTGCTCCGCAGGGGCCCTGCGTGTGCCCAGGGCAGCCGTCCCTGCTCAGGGGCCTGGGCCTGCTGCACTTCCCTCCAGCTCTCAGCCCCACCGGCAGCTGCTCCTGCCCTCGGCCTGGCTGTTGAGCAAAAGCCTTGGCCATGCCCCCTGGGCAGGATCCCGTGGCCCAGCAGCTTCCTCCCAGCCCCCGGGGCAGCGCTGGTGCTGTCCAGGCAGCCTGGGGGCACCGGAGCCGCGCTCTGGAGAAGCTGGGACCAGCTGGGGCTGCCCCAGGGACGGCCTTGGGGCTTGGAACTGAGGTGGCAGTGCCCCTGCCGGGCTCCCAGGGAGCCAGGAGGGAAAGCAAAGAGCTGCTGCTGGGGGGTGGGACTGGAAAGCCGAGCAGGGACTGCCCGGGGGGTCTGTCTGATGCACACGCTGGGAAAGAGGGGGCTGGGCTGACAGGCTGGGAGGAGGCCGGGATGGGGCTGGAAGGGGAGAGGGGCAGATCTGAGTGGACCAACTCGGATTTCTGTCCCTTCTGCCCTTTACTTTCTTTTCCTTCCCTGCTCCTTCTGCCTCCCTCTGCTTTGGAGCCAGGCTGGGAGAGCTGGGGGTGCTCAGCTGGAGAAGAGAAGGATCCAGGGAGACCTGAGAGCCCCTTGCAGAGCCTAAAGGGGCTCCAGGAGAGCTGGAGAGGGACTGGGGACAAGGGATGGAGGGACAGGACACAGGGAATGGATCCCACTGCCAGAGGGCAGGGAGAGATGGGAGACTGGGAGGAAATCTTCCCCAGATTGGTGGGGGTTTAGGGTGTCCAGGGGGTTATGGGGGACAAAGACTGATGGGGGTTTGTGGGGGTTTGGGCGAGTCCGGGAGGGTGTCAAAGAGTGGTGGGGGTTTATGAGGAGTCTGGGGGTGTTGGAGGTCTGGGAAGGTCAAAGAGTGATGGGGGTTTATGGGGGTCTGGGAGGGCTTATGGTGTTCCGGGGAATGTTGGGGGGGTCGAAGAGTGATGGGGCCCCCCTCCAAGGCCATGGGGACCCCACAGAGACCCCTGGAAAGGTTTGGAAACCCCCTCAATGCCTTGGGGACCCCACACTGGCCCCCCGCCCCTAAGTCCTTAATAACCCCCCTCAGAGACCCCAAACCCTGCCGGGTGTCCCCCCAGGTCCCCCCCCCCAAGCTTTGGGACCCCCAAAAGCACTAGCACCTCTCCCAACCCCCCCAGGTGTCTCCCAGATCCCCCCCAAGCTTTGGGACCCCCAAAATCACTCTCACCCCTCCCAGACCCCCCGGGTGTCCCCCAGATCCCCCCCAAGGCTTGGGGACCCCCCAAAATCACTCTTACCTCCCCAAACCTCCCGCAACCCTCGGGGACTCCCGGGGACCCGCCTAAATCACGCCCTCCCTCAATGGCCACGCCCATACCTTCTGACCACGCCTTCTTTGTGACCACGCCCCTTCCTAGGACGGCGCCCCTTGTTTGACCCGCCAATGGCTCGTTTCCCTCAGGCCACGCCCCCGACCTTCGGACCCCGCCTCCCTTTTTTTATTGGCTACGGCCCGTTGCCATGGAGCCCCCATGGGCACGCCTCCTTGCTTTGGCCACGCCCACCCACCAACCACAACCGCCGTCGTGCTCCGGCCCCGCCCCCTCGGGGCGTTTGCTCCGCCCACGAAGGGGCGTGTCCGGCGCGCGCGAGCGCCGGGAAGGAGGGAAAGGGTTCCTCGGGAAGAGCGGGAGCGCCGGGAAGGAGGGAAGGGGGAAAAGGCTCCTCGGGAAGAGCGGGAGCGCCGGGAAGGAGGAAAGGGTTCCTCGGGAAGAGCGGGAACACCGGGAAGGAGGAAAAGGCTCCTCGGGAAGAGCGGGAGCGCCGCGAAGGGGGAAAGGGCTCCTCGGGAAGAGCGGGAGCTCCGGGAAGGAGGAAAAGGCTCTTTGGGAAGCGCGGGAGCGCCGGGAAGGAGGAAAGGGCTCCTCGGGAAGAGCGGGAGTGCCGGGCGGTCTGACCCCCCTGACCCCAGAGCTCCACAACCCGGACGCGAAATCTGGTTTTTATTTGGACGGATTTCAACAGCAACAACCTCCAAACGCCTCCGGGACGTTCCTTGGTTTCTCGGTGAGGGATTCTCGCACTCTGGGAGCTGGGAAAGGCGGCTCTTCCCCGGCTGGATACGACTGGAAAGAGCCCTCCCTTCCCGAATACACACGGCAGGAAAGGCTCCGGCCGCGGTGATCGCCACTCCAAAGGGAATACGCGGAGAATCCCGAGGCACGCGGGGGGAGCTCCCACCGTGCCAGAGACCCCGTGAGCCCCCCCCGGGGCCGTCCAGCCACCGCTCGGGATTGATCCCAGCCCCGGTGAGGGATGCACAGCCTCGGGATCGATCCCAGCCCCAGTGAGGGATCGATCCCATCCCAGCCCTGGTGAGGGATGCACAGCCTCGGGATCGATCCCAGCCCCAGTGAGGGATGCACAGCCTCGGGATTGATCCCATTCCCGGTGAGGGATGCACAGCCTCGGGGTCGATCCCATGCCCGGTGAGGGATGCACAGCCTCGGGATCGATCCCATCCTCATCCCCAGTGAGGGATGCACAGCCTCGGGATTGATCCCATCCCTGGTGAGGGATGCACAGCCTCGGGATCGATCCCATCCCATCCACTGTGAGGGATGCACAGCCTCGGGATCGATCCCATCCCTGGTGAGGGATGCACAGCCTCGGGATCAATCCCATCCCCAGCCTCGGGATCAATCCCATTCCCAGCCCCAGTGAAGCATACACAGCCCCGGGATCAATCCCATCCCAGTCCCGGTGAGGGATGCACAGCCTCGGGATCAATCCCATCCCCAGTGAGGGATCAATCCCACTTCCCAGCCCTGGTGAGGGATGCACAGCCTCAGGATCAATCCCATCCCCAGCCTCGGGATCGATCCCATTCCCAGCCCCGGTGAGGGATGCACAGCCCCGGGATCAATCCCATCGCACCCCTGGTGAGGTATGCACAGCCTCGGGATCGATCCCATCCCATCCCCGGTGAGGGATGCACAGCCTCGGGATCGATCCCAGCCCTATCACTGATGAGGGATTCACAGCCTCGGGATCAGGATCGATCCCATTCCTGGTGAGGGATGCACAGCCTCAGGATCGATCCCATTCCCAGCCTCAGGATCGATCCAAACCCTGGTGAGGGATGCACAGCCTCGGGATCAATCCCATCCCCTGCTTCGGGATCAATCCCATCCCCAGCCTCGGGATCAGTCCCATTCCCAGCCCCAGTGAGGGATGCACAGCCTCAGGATTGATCCCATCCCCAGCCTCGGGATCAATCCCATTCCCATCCCCGGTGAGGGATGCACAGCCTCGGGATTGATCCAAGCCCTGGTGAGGGATGCACAGCCTCGGGATCAATCCCATCCCCAGCCCCAGTGAGGGATGCACAGCCTCGAGATCAATCCCATCTCCAGCCTTGGGATCAATCCCATTCCAGCCCCACTGAGGGATGCACAGCCTCGGGATCAATCCCATCCCCAGCCTCGGGATCAATCCCATTCCAGCCCCACTGAGGGATGCACAGCCTCGGGATCCATCCCATCCCCAGCCTCGGGATCAATCCCATCTCCAGCCTCGGGATCAATCCCATCCCCAGCCTCAGGATTGATCCCACCCTCCATCCCCGCTCCCATGGGACCAGACCCTGAAGGGGGGGACCAGAGGAGCAATCCAGGAGCAGTCCAGGAGGAATCCAGGAGCAGCAGCAGCAGGGAGGAGATGCCCCTGAGCTGCCGAGGGCTGTGGGGAGGAGAAGGACGGACGTGGAGCCAGGGAAAGGCCGGGATATGGGAGAGGCTCCCATCCTTCAGGCCCCCAGCAGCTTCTTGACCATGTAGCCCGGCATGCTGTAGAGGAACAGGGCCACCATGACCAGGAGCAGCAGGGCCAGCACGATCTTGATGATGAGCCACTTGTAGCGTGTGCAGATGAGGTATTTGATGGACTTGAGCGGGTTCAGGAACCAGATAAAGGATGTGTCTGGGCGGCTGTGGGGCGAGAGAGTTGTTATTCCGGCACCAGAGTTATTCCTGCACTTCCCTGGTTCCATAAAAATCCCTCTGAATGGATTCTGAGTGTTCCTCTGTCCCAGAATGGGTTGGGTGGGAAGGGACCTTAAAGCTCATCCAGTTCCAACCCCGACACCTCCCGCTATCCCAGGTGGCTCCAACCTGGCCTTGGACACTGCCAGGGATCCAGGGGCAGCCACAGCTTCTCTGGGAATTCCAGCCCAGCCCCTCCCCACCCTCCCAGCCAGGAATCCCTTCCCAATCTCCCCCCCAAATCTCCCCTTTCCCAGTGGGATCCATTCCCTGGGTCCTGTCATTCCAGGCCCTGATCCCCAGTCCCTCTCCAGCTCTTCTGGAGCCCCTTTAGGCTCTGGAAGGGGCTCCAAGCTCTCCCTGGAGCTCAGTGTTTTCCTTTAGTCCCTTGGAGCTGCATCCCACAGGATTTGTCTTCCAAGAATCTGAGAAGCCCAGTCTGGAGCCATCCCAGCTCCATGGAACCATAGAATTCCAGCCTGGTTTGGGGGGGAAGGGACCTCAAATCCCATCCCATTCCATGTTCAGGGACATCTCCCGCTATCCCAGGGAATCCAACCCGGCCTTGGACACTCCCAGGGATCCAGGGGCAGCCACAGCTTCTCTGGGCAACCTGTGCCAGGGTCTTTCCACCCTCGCAGGGAAGGAATTCCTTCCCAATGTCCCATCTCTCCCTGCCCTCTGGCAGTGGGATCCATTCCCTGTGTCCTGTCCCTCCATCCCTTGTCCCCAGTCCCTCTCCAGCTCTCCTGGAGCCCCTTTAGGCTCTGGAAGGGGCTCCAAGCTCTCCCTGGATCCTTCCCTTCTCCAGCTGAGCACCCCCAGCTCTCCCAGCCTGGCTCCAGCCCTGGCAGCATCTGCGGGGCCTCCTCTGGCCTCATTCCCACAGCCCCAGAGCTGGATGCAGCACTCCAGGCGGGAGCAGAATCCCAGAATCCCAGGTAGCTGCTGCAGAGAGGGGGCTCTCCCACTTACTTGGGTTTCTCCAGGGGATCAGGCTCGTTCCGAGCCAGCCCAGCGGGGGATTTCTCGGCCTCCTCAGCCGTCAGGAGGTGCAGCTCAGCCTCCACTTTGCCCTGCAGGGAGCACAGAGCCCTGCTGGGGCCTGGCACACGATGCCAGGGCGTGGAGATGGAGGGATTTCCCGGGGGGGATGGAAGGTGCCTGCAAGGAGTGACCTCCCCGCCCTCACCGTGACCTCCAGCTCGTCGTTCTCGTCCCTGGCCACGAAGGGCCACCAGCCCTTGACCCGCTTCTGCTTGAAGATGGAGATCATGGGCAGCTCTGCCTCCTTGGTCACCATCTCCAGGCTGCACTGCTTGGACGTCTTGGCCCCCCGGGGGAAGCGGTTCAGGTCCAGCTCGATGGCCCCTGGCAGGAGAAACAGGGGTTGGCACCCCCAAAATGCTGCAGAGGGGCTGGACCGGCAGGTCCCGCCCCGGGGGAGAAGCTCTGAAGCAGCTCTGGGAAGTAAAGAGCTGCTGGTGCTACGGTGGAGAGGAGGGATCACAGAATCCTGGGATCATCTGGGTTGGAAAAGCCCTCCCAGCTCGTGGATCCCCCCTGTGCCCGATGCCCACCTTGTCACTGAGTGCCACAGCCAGGCCTTCCTGGGACACCTCCAGGGCTGGGCACTCCAAACCTCCCTGGGCAGCCCCTGCCAGTGCCTGACCACCCTTTCCAGCAGGAAATTCCTCCTCCTGTCCAACCTGATCCCCTGGGCACAGCTGGGATTGTGTCCAGCCGCTGCCACCAACACCCCCAGGGCCTTTCCCAGCTTTCCAGCCCCTCTGTCCCAGCCTGGAGCATTCCAGGGGGTTGTGGTGACCCAAGGGGAGGACCTGGCACTTGGCCTGGTTGATCCTCACACCACTGACTTCTTCCCATGGATCCAGCCGGGCCACATCCCTTGGCATGGCCTGATCCTGCCCTTCCACTGTTCTTCCCATGGATCCAGCCTGGCCAGATCCCTCAATAAGACCCTTCCTGCTCTTCCCATGGATCCAGCCTGGTCACATCCCTCTGCAGAGCCTTCCTGCCCTGTCACTGCTCTTTCCATGGATCCAGCCTGGCCACATCCCTCAACAGGGGCCTTCCTGCTCTTCCCATGGATCCAGCCTGTCCAGATCCTTCAATAGGGGCCTTCCTGCCCTGCCACTGCTCTTCCCATGGATCCAACCTGGCCAGATCCCCACTGCTCTTCCCACGGATCCAGCCCGTCCACATCCCTCAGTAAGGCCCTTCCTGCCTTTCCCATGGATCCAGCCTGTCCATATCCCCACTGCTCTCTCCATGGATCCAGCCTGTCCACATCCCTCAATAAGGCCCTTCCTGCCCTTCCCATGGATCCAGCCCATCCACATCCCTCA